GTCATTGAACATGAGCGAGGAAATCTATGCCGGGCAGACCCGGAGGCTGTGTGTTTTCCAGCTCGTCAAGGTGCGGTATAAATGGTCTAAAGGCTTCGGGATTGCCCCGAGGTCATTCAAGATGTCTTCCATAGGAAGTGTTCTTTGCCCTGAAGTTCAAGCCCTCTGAGCCTCCAAAACGCCTCCACTTCCCGTTGCGCCCCGGACATTTGGGAAAAACACCTGGGCCTTCGATTGGTGGTTCCTTCGATCCAGGGGAGTTTCGAGGTCTCACCTCAGCTCACTCCTCACTCCCTCCCTCTTGTGCCCAGCTTTTGGCAGCGGAGCAGCAACGAGAAGTTCCAACAAACCGGTACCTCGCCGGCACGTGGAGCAGAAGGGTGGAGGGGGTTGACCGGGGTGCAAACAGTCAAGTTCCTGCCCGGTGACCAAGGGCTCACAGGAGTTAGTCCTTCGGTCCCCATATGAAGGGCCATGGTGGGAAAAGACCGGAGTTCAACTGGCTGAAGCAAGGAGTGGCATCGCTCTGAAATATATTGGAGCTCCTAGTAGTAAGGCGGCACTTGTTTCTACTAGCTTCTTATTACTACTAGTAAGGCACTTAGTTACTAGTATGTTCCTGGATTTGTGTTCAATATTAGTTTCCGTAAACTTGCACAATCATGGAAGGTGAGCCGGGTGACCTTCAGGTGTCTTGGATTTGTCCGGTCCCTTTGGTCTTACCTACCCTACGCGTCCTGTCTCTGTCTGAGACGACCTCCGCCCTCATGGACGGCGTCTCTCACTTTAATTTGGCCCCACCGACAGCTGGGCCCCACTGGCCCCCCGCTCGCTCCGCGCCCGAGCGAGGTCGACTCGTTCCGCCTCGCCTCGACGGCATCGAAGGTCAAGCCTCCCGGCTGCCCGATGCTCTGGGTCCCGCCCTCGGAGGCTTTGCGCATCTCGCCCACCTGTACGTGGGTGAATTCACCGAAAGGAAAGACGGCGCGGTCGTGGGTGAAGGCCGTGGTGAAGGCCGTGGGTTTGGCGGGGGGCCGTTCGCTTTGGGCTGGTCTTCATGTTGGGCAGTGGCCAGTCTCAAACTCTTGATTCGTATTCATCTTGTGCTCCCTGTCGTGCTTATATATTGGTTTCTTGGCCAGCACCAAACCTGGCTACCCAGCTTGGACACGGGTGGTTGGATATCTGCAGTATCCCATGTTCTTCAATCATGTTGAAGAGGACAGATCCAGCGTTTCTACCTCACCGTTGATGTATGAGCGCCACCGATGCCCATGCCATCTGCGTAACCATGATTGTTTCAGGGTAAGGTAGGATTACTAAAAAAGAAAAAAGTGGCAACAGGATCGATATGGATCGATCATACCCCCGTCTCATGAGCTTCCACGCTTCTAATATATCCAAATCGAACATCACTTGCATACCCAAATCGAACTCTTCCAAGGCTCAATCTTTCAATCACCAGGCGGCAAAATGGCAAGAGTCTTGCTGGTGGTGGGATTCTTCAATGATGAAGGTATAATACCCCGGTGGAGCTACAATTTCATACACGTTCTAGATCTCTCAGGTAAGTCCTGATGGAGGGACTACTGGACACCTGGTCTACCATTTCTTTGCTACCCACGCCCTCCTCACTCGTCTCTTTAGCTGCCACCCTCTTCCCATTCCTTCTGCCAAACAAGCCCCTCTGCGCGAGCTTCAGCTTTAAAGTATCGCACCAACCCCCCACGCTGCAAGTCGTTCCCAAAGCGGAGTCCGGTGAAGATGCGGTTTTGCAGCTGCAACGGTAGGCCTTCAAACAGTCCAACCAGCCCATGTCTTTCCAGCACGGCATCCAAATCCTTGCGCCGGGCCGCTTCCAAACGCAACACAGCTTCAGCCAAACGACGATGCCCTGACTTGAAGTCCATATCCTTTAAGTCACTTGCGGACGCACCGCTGTACTTTTGGCATTGTCGAATGAATTCTCTCCAAGTGCAGGGTAGGCACTGCAGCGTGTAAAGACATAAAGATGTGTGCAGTCTGCGGTTCAATATTTCGTTCACTTGCACCATAATCTGAAATGTTGCGCCTGCTTCAGCTTCTGCCACACTTCCAAAAAAAGCCCTGGGGGCCGGCCCCATGAACATGTATCTGCTGCGTACGTGCCACAACGCCAAGCACGCAGCGCACTGACACCTCAGCGGCGTCCTCTCTGCCAACACACCAGGCTCACCTTTGTCCACGCAGCAAGTCGCTGCCGCAAGAAACAAATAGAAATCTTCAAGCAAAAACTTGAGCCTATAGCACTGGATTGCTGTGCCTAGATCTAGATCCTCTGGAAGGCCAGGTCTGCCAAGGAGTTCCAGCCGCAACATTGAGCGTAGGAGCTTCTCTGTTGCCACATTCAAATCCGCAGCCGGCCGAAGTTCCCGTAGACCATCCATCAACTCAACGAGACTCCGACCAACCTGCAACGACGTTCGCGCCCACGGTCGAAGAGCTACAAGCAGATGATCCACCGGCCGACACCGCGGAGCCACCACAGGCACACGCTCTGCTGCACGTCGAAAGTAGCGACGTCGGCCGTCACCGCTGTCCAACCAAGCCTCAGGATGCAAAAACCGAGTTGTACTTCAAACACGAATTCTGTTTACACCCTCCTCCTACCCTGCCATGTGCCACCTACAAATCTTCTAGAAAAAATCCTTTTCTTCCAGTGATCCCCACCATGGCAAATATATAGCTTTTACTCACATACATATTTCTAAAACACCCTGACATTCCTATTTCACATTCTTCTCGGGCCCCATGAACTATATAATCAACTCCGTTTCATGGCTTCCTTCGCAATAATCACTAGCTTCGCCCAAGACACAGACACCGAGGTGCGAAACTTCAACGCCTCGCGGATTGAGTGCTCCAGTCCACCAACAACTGCCTCCAAGGACTCCTCTGTCAGGCCCGCTGACAAGCTCTCTTTCGCCCCGGCCAGCATTGCATCTTCCATGAACTGCTGCGTTCCCAGGTATCGAAAGCACGCAACCAAAAGCACCCATGCTGCAACACGGGCTTCCGTCACAGGTTGTCTCCGCCAAACTTTCTTCCACATAGCCACTGCGAACTTTGGCCGGCTCCTCATTGCACCGTCCAGTATTGGAGGGACCTTGCCAAGGAGTGGCACATATTGCACAATGTTCCGATGCAGCGCTGGACCGCGCGCCACCCAAGCTTCAATGCAATGCTTCGTCTCGTCTGGTACAAGGACCTTCGGCTGCTGCAAAAGCATCAAGCACCAAAAGTATAAAAACGACTTCAGCAAACCCACATTCTTCACCCCAACCTGTTCATCGATGTCGTGAACAAGCACATCAACCTCCAGGCCGGACAGATACTCAGCATCGCGCACATACTTGTCCTCCAGAAAGCTGATCTGTCCACATTTCGTAGGTTCCGGACTGTAGCCACTTTCCTCCGGGCTACTCAAGTCCACTTCCGAATCCTGCCCTCTGAAGCGCTTCGACTTGCGATCACCGCCCCGTCGATCAACCAGCCGCCCCGTTGATCGGCTGCACGTGACACAGATAAACCCATGATCATCCTTCGCTGACGTGCGCTTCCTGCAGTGTCGACAACTTCCGCGATCGGCCATCCGGCAAAGATCCGAGAGTAAGTTGTCAATTTGTGGTTACAAAGCTTCTTTTCAAGTTTGTTGAGAGCAACACGGACTTCAATGGACTGAACTGAGTCTTCGTTGCGTAGACTATGTCATGCGGCGTTCCGCTGGATCCGGTTTTGGCAGGGAAGATGGAAGAAGTAGTTTCGTCAGGGAATCTCTGCCGGAAAGGTCCCGATTTTGGAAGCTTCAAACTTGGGGATCTGCTCCAAAAAGCTGAAGGTATTCCCCACCTGTTCCCCTCTGTGTGTTGCTCAGTACTGGCAATCTAATGCTTTGTTTGCAGGCTGAACAGTTTGTGGATCTTGGTCCCTGATGGTTGCAAAAGCAGTGGCAATTCCCACAAAATGCAGAAGTGCAAACGTATGTCAATTGGAAAAGTAAGTCAAGACCTGCAGGAAAAAGTTATCCGACAGCAAATTAAATCTTAAGAGTTGACTTCTAGAAAATTTAACAAGCTACTGTGTATATATATATATATTTTAAAAAAACTCTGACTTGTACATTGTCTACAAACGTTAAGGACAATTGAAGTTGTACCTCCTTCAAACTGGTCTTAACTGATCGGTGGGGTACCGAGGTCATTCGCTCGAACTGGTGGACCAGGGGTCCAGGTTTTTCACAACCCATCTACCTTCTCAGGTGATTGGAGAGACACTAATGTAGGTCTGGTGGGTCCAAGCACCTTCTGAGAATGTACTTGGATCTCTAGGCGATAAATGATCAAACATCAAAAAGCCGCTTCATCAAAGTGACCTTTGTGGAGACATGTGGTGTCATGTGGTGTCCAACAACAACAAATCACCTGATTCCTCTGTTGCCTGTGATGTCACGGCCTCTGACTGCCCACGACCATCCACCCCAACCTGGATTAGTCGTCGCAAGGGCATCGCTACTAGTAGCTCCTGGGACTCCTATGAGTAGCAAGAAGTTACTACTAACATGGCCACCTCTACTAGTAGCTCCTGGCATTGCTATTAGTAGCAAGCAGCTAGTCGTAACAAGAGCATCGCTACTAGTGGCTCCTGGCCCTACTGTTAGTAGCAAGAGGCGACTAGTAACAAGGGCATCGCTACTAGTAGCTCCTGGCACTAGCAATAAGCGACGAGTAACAAGGGCATCGCTGCTAGTCGCTCCTGGCCTTGCTGGTAGTAGAAAAACCAAGGAACCTCCTTGCTTGACATGACAGCTGAGGTTTGCTTCACGTGGCTCAGCTAGAGATCGACAAGCGCGACTTTCTCTGGTCACGAGCCCGACCGGTTGCGTGGGATGTTTTCGTGGGGAGGTGTCCAAGCCCCCTTGGTCCTATCCTCTGCTCCCCATCCCCAAGGTGACCTGCGACCCAGTGAACCCCGGAGGATGGCGATGTTTGGAGTCGAAACGACGCCATTTCTGCCGAGCGCCTCCGGGATCAGCATCCTCATCACTGAAGAGGTGTCCACAGGGCTGTCGTCATAAAGACCTCTGGAACCAGGAACTCCCACCCTCCTCTTGTGGTGGGCAATGATTGGACCGTGAGCATCCTGAGAGCCTCGATATGGGATTCCATTCATCAGGGTCCGGACCCTGAAAACCATGTAACCTTGAGAGAGCCCGGTTTTGTAGGGCACCTAAAAACGGAGGTCTTCACTGGTGACCTGTTGGAGGGTGGTGCTAACAATCTCTTGAAGTGCTTTTTTTACTGCCCTCCAGCATTGCAGTGGTGTGCATGGTCAGCCCCCAACAAAGTGACTGCATCAAATGAATCAAACAGGGACTACCAAAACCAGACGGTCTCTGCTTGCAGAGTTACATCAGTTTCATCAATGCAAAGCTAGGGCTAACAAGATTGTACTCATGTGTCTATATCGACTGACGGACGGACGGACTGACTGACTGACTGCCTTGCTTCCTTCCTTCCTTCCTTGTTTGCTTGCTTGCTTTCTTTCTTGCTTGCTTGCTGACTTAAGGAGTTTCACAGTAAAGCACTAACAAACATTATGTGCATGACATCCAACGCACTACCCTGGCCGTTGACATCCCTACACGTAGAACTGAATGGATGCCCTGCCTCTTTGCCTGCAAATCTGCCTCACAACAGTAACAGCATTCGAATCTAAACAGAACATAAACAGTTTTTTTTGTCATATCAAATACGGCTCCAAATAGCGAGGTGCTCTTGGTCTCCCATAGGCTTTTGACCAATCAGTCCATGTTTAAAGCGAGGTTGCGGGAGCTGTATCTTAGCTGTTCACTCCCAAAGCCACCAAGGCACACTTCTCGCCAGTGTCTTTATTCAAGAACGCTAGGCCAGAATGATATGCGTTCCTCGGTCTGTATCTGAAGTGATTTTGTCTTGGAGAGGGTCATTCAGAGAGAAACATCCGTCGAACGCTCAAACGGCGAAGTCTGAGACAAGATGTGCCAAGTAAAACTGGCAGGGCAAACGGCACAAACCGTGAGTCATTTGGACTTCCCCATTGAACGCCTCTTGATGTGTCTTCTTGCCATACATACTGTGACAAGGGCGTGAAGTGAACAAATGCAAACTCTCTGAAGTTGCGAAACCAGGACTTGGCCAATCTGAGGAAGAGCTCCTGCATCACTTGAATGTGTTTTTTGGGTCTAATAACAATGGATTGACTCCCTCAGTGTCCTTGGAACATACCGGTGAATCAAACTCTCCAACCGCCCCAATCCCCCATGTGAAGCTGCAGCTGATCCACAGGTCTGGGTCTTCAGATGTCTTCAGACTTTGGCCAAGTGGCCAGGGTGCTCGGTCCAAGACCCACTATGCCAGCAAGAACTCCGCGTAGTACACCTGGTTGGCGCCGGTCGGCTCCAGGTTCTGAACCACTGAGTTGCGCGACGTATGCACAATCAAGCCAAGCAATCATTGATAGCCAGCTGTTCCGTTCGAAGGTCCACTGAGTTCAGAAAAGTTCAGAACCTTCATCCAAGTGATTCATTCATCACTTCAGACCTATACATCTCAAAAATTCCGAACACCTCCCGTATATGAAGAGGTCTTAGACATCCAAACGAGCCGCGTAACCGCAAGAATCGCTTCGATTGCGAGGACACGAACTGATGAGAGTGTCCTCAAAGCAGTATGAGAGTGACTTGGCAAACGACCCAAAAGACGAGGCAGCCAAACGGACCCCGGACTCATCGCTGCCATTGACTCTTCCAGTCAAGCAGGTGTGATGAGATGGTGTGATCGCCACGTTTAAATGGTGGAGGCCTCTTATGTCCTTTCAGACTGACTGCTGTGAAACCTCGTGATGACATTGTGACTCCACCTGGAGTCGACCCGTTCGTACCCCAGATAATGGAGCACCAGTCGAACCTGTTTTTTGGGTTCGGGTCATGAACCCATTTTCTAGGGACACGACTTCTGTCACAGTCGGGTCCAGGGACATCAGCACGAACAACTCCAACGCCTAATTCATAGCAACCATTGTTACTACTAGTCTATACGTAAGGCACCTGAGACTACTAGCGTGGCACTTGTTACTAGTAGCTTCTTGTTTCTCAACAACGCTAAAAACACACAGTCCCGGGGCCGCCCGCCTCAACACGTGCGCTCGGCGCCCACGGCAGCAGCGATCGCGCGTGGAAGATGTTCTGCGCCAACTGACGGTCCTCATCCTCTGCCGCGCATAGCCATGAAGCCTCAATTGGAGCTGGTTTTCCCATCTAAGCGGAGAAGAGGATGGCATCAACGGCGGTCAAAGCGGGGGATTCGGGCTGACCACTGAACATGCGCAGAATAGACTGCGAAGGGGAGGTCAACCTACCAAGGCTTGCCATGACCCACAGCCAAATTGGAAAAGATATGAACAGAAAGAACACAAAGATCGGAGCCGATGGTGAAACGGAGCCGATGGTCGGATTGGTCTCCTTCGTTTGGACCAGAAGTTGCAAGCCAAGAAATGCGGAGACCAATCGGACCATGATTCTTCATGATTCCAGCATGCCCGATGGGGTATCCAGACTATCGTTTATATGCCCTATAGGGATCCACATACCCTCTGAGGTCCGGTGATTGGAGATACTGTTATGTAGGTTTGGGGGGTCCAGTCGTACCTTCTCAGAAGGTACGACAGAATCCCTAGGCATGGTTCACTAGTTAGCATGGGTTGGCGGTTGATGCTT